GGCCAGACTAATTTTATCTTAAAACTACACAAATTGAGAGATTAGGATTTTATTGACTCAGTCCTTAACTCTTTCTCCAAACATCTAGCTAAGGGATCACCCAGAGTATTTTATTTTTTTAATCTGTGTGCGTATGTGCTTTTGTGTGTCTGTACTTGTGCCACATGTGTATGTGTGTGGAGGTCAGAGGGACAACCTTGGGCATTGGTCCTCCCCATCCTCCTTGATCTGTGCCTCATTAACCAGGGCATCTGGCCCACAGACTTGGGAATTCTGTCTCCACCTTTCATCTCACTGTAGGAGCATTGGATTGCAGATGTGTACTGCTGTGTCTGCCTTTACACGGGTTCTGGGGATCTGAAATCAGGCCCTCATGCTTATGTGGCAACCATATTACCCACTGGGCCATCTTTCCAGCTATGGTTTGTTTGCCAGTGACAGGGAGTCAACAGTCCCTTCCCCCAAGTCCTGAGGCAGCTCATTCCATTTTTCCTAACTCTGACCACAAGACAACCCCTCTTTACACCACCCTGAACTCCTTTCTTCTATCTCTTCTGCACCATGGTTCTGGCTTGGCAGTGATGGCCATATGGCATAAGTCGCATCCCTATTTCCTAAGGCAAGTTTTCAGATTCTTCCAGTCCACCTTCTATCCTGACCCTCAACCACTTTCCCTTTGCCCAGTTAAGCAGCTTCTAGCCTTTAAGTTCATAGCTTCTCTTGAGTAAATCCAACTGGCTTTACTTCCTTTTTTCTTCATGATGTGATATAGAAACAACATGGTTGCCTCATGAATATTCTGCTTCTCCTCTAGTCTTTCTCTTAAAATTTACTATCACCTTGGAGTTAATTCCCATCCTCATTCACATACAATCCATCAGCAAGTTGTTTTTTTTTTTTTTCAATCCTACCCCCAAATATAAAGTCCATCTCTCACTGCTCTTACCAGGGCCCAAGTCCCCATCCTCTCTCCTTATCCCTAACTCTTACCTCCTTCATATATTCTCATTGTTTTAGTATTATTTTTTATATATCTTAAATTTTTTATTATATTTATTTATTTTTATGTGTATGTTAGTGTGTGCATCTGTGCATACCACAACATGGGTATGGAGGTCCCAGTTGGTGCTTTCCTGTCTCTACCATGGAGGTTCTAGGCAGATGCTCAGGTCATCAGGATTGACGGTGAAGCGACTTTATCCTGCCAGTCCTATTTTTTTTTTTTTGACCTTTTGAGACAGTGTCTCCCTGTAGCCCCAGCTGTCTTGGAACTCACTATGTAGACCAGGCTGGCCTTGAACTCACAGAGTTCAGTCTCTGCCTCCTGAGTGCTGGGATTAAAGACATGTGCCACCATACCCGGCTTCAGTCCTAATATTTTTTAAATTAATTTTTAAAGTTATTATGCACACGCAATAATGGATTTTATTATGGCACGATCATCAGTATTCTCTCTCTCTTACTCTCACTCTTAGATTCTGAGGATCAAGCTCAAGTCCTTCTGTTTGCAGAGCAAGTGTTTTACAGACAGCTTTTTTGCCAGCCCAGTATTGCTTTTTTAAAAATTTTAATATTATTTTATTTTATGTGTATGAGTGTATTGCCTGCATGTGTGTAAATGCATCTATGTTGTGCAGTGCCCATGGACGTCAGAAGAAGGTGTCAGATACCCTGGAACTGGAGTTACGGGCGGTTTTTAGCCACTATGTGGGTGCTGGGAATTGATCTCGGGTCCTCTGCATGACACAGGTGCTCTTAACTAAGCCATCTCTCCAGCCCCTCATTATTATCTTAAAACATGAATCAGGTCATGTCATTTCCCTGATTAAACCTTTGATTTCACTGTCCCTCGAGCACAAGCTATTTCCCGTGGTTAACAAGGCCCTACCTCCTCTGAACCATCTACCTTCCCTATTGCACTCAGTGCTGGTCCTGGGCCTCCTGTGTGTTCTCTGACCATACCAAGCCTCTTCCTGCAGTTGGTCCTTGTATTTCCTGTTCTTTCTACCCATACTTTTCTCTTTTTTCCTTAAAAGACTTTTTGTTGTATTTGTTTATTTTATATGTATGTTTTGTCTGTATGTATGTAAATATACCCATGTCATGCAAAGCTTGCAGAGGCCAAAAGAGAGCATCAGATTCCCTGGAACTAGAGTTATGGGTGGTTGTTAGCCATCATATGGGTGCTGGGAGCTGACCCTGGATCCTCTGCAAGAGCAGCCAGTGCTCTGAACCACTGAGCCATCTCTCCAGCCATTGCCCACACTTCCCAAGTGGCTGGCTCATTCTCATTTTTCAAGTCTCAGTTGGAATCCCCCTTCTTCAGAGAGGCCTGTCTTGATCGCTCACTTCATCATTGACAGAGTGAAAGCATATTGGAGCCATATTAAGAACAGTTTTGGGGGCTGGAGAGATGGCTCAGCGTTTAAGAATACTGGTTGTTCTTGCAGAAGACCCAGGTTCAAATCCCAGCACCCACATGGCAGCTAACAACCATCCGTAACTCCAGTCCCAGGGGATCGACAGCATCTTCTGACCTCCGCAGGCATTGCATGACACAGGTGCACTTACCTACATGCAGGCAATACACGCACACACATAAAATAAAATAAAAAAATTAAAAAAAAACAGATTTGAAGTTGGATGTGGTGGCACATACCTGTAATTCCTGTAATTCCAGCACACAGGAAGCATGAAGATTGTGAGTTCAAGGCTAGTGTGAGTTACATAACAAGACCTGTCTCAAAGTACACACACACACACACACACACACACACACACACACACAGGGGGCGGGGCTACATAGCAATTTCAAGGCCAGCCTGGCCTAAATGAGACCCTATCTCTAAAACAGACAAAACCAACCAAATAAACAAAAACAAGAACTTGAGCTTTGCCCCTTCCTGTGTGCCTTTAGGCAAATCATATTACCTCTTTAGCCTTCAGTTAGTGCATTTGCCTAATGGCAATCCTGTCTGCCTCACAGAATGTTTTCATTGATGCTTCATTCTGTGTACATCGAAGAGTTCTGTCAAGTTTCAGCCTGCTTCATGAAACTGTGTGTTGTGCCTGTGTGTGTGTATGGCCCAAAGCCTAGTATCAGATGCCTGTGATCCTCCCACCACCCTAGGTGACTCTTGCCTGGTTGGGAAGACAGTTCTAACTCGGCATGAGCTGTTGGGCTGGGTGATGCTCAGTATGAAATCCCAGAAATGCCAAGCTCAGAGCCTTCACTGGGGCACTGAACAAGTCTAAGTGAGCAAACCAGATATCAAGTGGCACATATCTTGTCAGGATGAATTGGAATATTCTGTCTAGACAGCTGTCTCCCTTGGGAAATCAGTTTCTCTAGGTAGAAGCATGTGGTCTCCTGTTGAGAATACAAAATGAGCCTATGTGTGGTTAGGTGGGGCCACTGTGAGGTTGTGTGAGCTGCTGGAGCAGTGTGCACGAAGGAGCTGTCAACCCCTCATACACCGGGGTCTCTGGCTCATGGCACCAGCCTCCTCCTACACACGTACAGGGTCAGCAGAGCACATGTGTGTGGGAAGGCAGAGATGTAATAATCAGCCTTCCCAGTGCCAAAAGTTTTGTGATTCTACCGAAGGGTGTCAGAAAAGACTGAAAGGTAAGCCTGGAATATGGATTTCCCGTTGAGAAGGAGAGTGCTCTGTGTGATGTTTGCTTGTCATGATGGCCTAAGTTATTTCCCTCTGTAGGCTGCTAGAGGGTTTTAAGGTAGAAACTAGAGTTAGATAGTCTCGGGTTCTAATCCTGGTGATACATTTGCCTTGGCTCTGCCAATTAACAGCAAAACCTTAGTTTGATCATGGTAAAATGGGGATAAAAATGAGCCTTATCTGATTGTTTTGAGGATTAAATGATAGGATGTGTGTAAAAGGCTTAGCTTAGTGCTAGACACAGTGTGCAGTTAATGATCATTCTTTTTATTAGGGAAGGCAGGTCAGGATATTGAGTTTGACTCTCCACCTTCCCAGTGCTGGTGATCAAGTCCAGGGCCTCACACACAGGATTTTTTTGTTTGTTTGTGTGTTTGAGACAGGGGCTCATTCTATAGTCCAGTCTGGCCTGGAATTTACTATGAAATATAAGCTGGCCTCAAACTCCCAGCAGTGTTCCTGCTTCAGCTTTCCAGTGCTGAGGTTACAGGTATGAGCCACCATGCCTGGCTTGAGCTTGCATTTTCTTTTATTAAGACAAGGTCTCTGGGCTGGAGAGATGGCTCAGTAGTTGAGAGCACTGGTGGTTCTTGCAGAGGACCCTGGTTCAGTTCCCAGCACCCACATGGTGGCTAGCAACCAGCTATAATTCCAGTTCCAGGGTATCTGATGCCCTCTTCTGACCTCTGTGGGTACTGTATGATATGAGTGCACTTACAAACATGTAGGCAATACATTCATGCACATAAAAGGAAAAAATTAATAGTAAAAAAAGACAGGGTCTCATGTAGTACAGGCTGGCCTCAAAGTCACTATGTAGGATGACCTTGAACTACTAGGCCCCTTGTGTCCACCTCCTGAGTGCTGAGATTATGGGCATATACCACCATGCCCAGTTTATGTGGTGCTGGGTGAGACTCTAACCTAGGGTCTTGTGAATCCTAGGCAAGCACTCTACCAACTGAGCACTATCCGCAGCCCCCTTTAGTTTGTATCTGTGATGTGCCTTACCCATTCAGTCTTGGTTTCCACTTGGCATCTTGGGAAAGTTATCCAGAGTTAGTATTCTTTTCTGTCATATGCTGTTCACAATCCCTACCTCATAGTGAACATGAAGGGAGATCAGCCCCCCTGACAGTGGTGGTTCTTCCAGATGCTAGTTTCATTCCTCTGGTTCTCAACTATTTGAAACCTGGTCCCTTTAAGCTTGTTAAGATTCCCCACTAGCCTTGTCTGCAGCTGTGGGCAGGCAGGCAGGCAGGCCAGCAGGCAGCTTTGGCAGAAGGAAAGATGAGTTTTTTTTTCTTGAATGACTGTTTCATAATCTGTTGGGACAGATCTGCTGCAGTCACACCCTGTTCTTCCCAGGGTCCTGAGTCCTGTTGCAGTTAGCACATGCCTTGTTCTAACCTAAATAGCCCCAGAAAGTGCTGCTGTGAAAGACATTACTGAATTTTCTTCCCTGCACTTGGGGAGGAAGCTGGCTCAGGGGTTCTTAGCTGCAGAGGGAGGGGCTGTTGGGCCTGGACTGCAGTCCGGCTTGGCAGCCACGGGTTTTCTGGTTTTCATTAAAATTCTTTGGCAGTCTTTGGAGATTGCTCCATTGGGTAAGACTGTGCTGGAGCTGCCTGTGCTGTTCTCTCAGAGAGGCTACACACACCCATCAAGTAACAGTGACCCTGAGGAGGAGAGAAATAGAAGGTGGGAAACAACTTGCCTGGGGTTTTGCTCAGCAGTCTTTGTGGAGAGGGATCCCCAAATAAAACTGTAAACCTTGAGTTTTACTGAGTCCTAAATATATACAAGAAGGCAGACATGGCTGAGCTGAGCTGGGGATGGTTTACAGCTTGTTCTTGAGGGCAGATCGAGGTTCTTTGGCATCTGCCAGGGGGTCCCCAAGTGCTACATTAATTACATCCATTTGTTCTGATCATTCTTTGGAGGTGTTGATACTTTCCTGTGCTCAAAGGGGTCAAGGTTGGGGGTCAGTTTCCTGAGGATGACAAGCTGCTCAGTTTTAAATGTTTGTATTTTGGTTGCTGAAGGAATCTCACTTGAGATTAAAATTTGCATCTGAAAACCTAGGGTACAATTGTGATTCTGCTGTTAACTTGCTTTATGACCTTGGACAAGTTACATTCCTAGGCCTTGACTTTGCGGTGTGGTTGTGAGGATTAAATGAGACAAATTATGTAAAGCTCTTGGAAAATCCTATATTCTCAACAAACAGTAGATGTTATTATAAATTGGGCTAGATTGGACCTGTCACTCCAGCTCACCAAGCTATATCCCAGCTCTGTCATCCAGAGCATTTGTTCTGCCTTCCACCCAGCTTTGTACCATTTACGAATTTGAGGCAAACATATTCTCTAGGGCAAGTTGAAACTCCTCTCACTGGAAAAATACATCCAGACATATTATTAGGTTTCCCAGGGAGAGGCTTAAGATGTCAGATATTTTGTGAGGTAACTTAGTAGAAAAAAAAATTTTTTTCCTCTCTTGTTCTTGATGGATAGATTGTGAGAAAGTCATCTTAATTGATCTTGGGAATAAATATTCCCTGATAATACTCCCATAAGAGCATTGCTGAGGTGCTCATTTACCTTCGAGTAAGCTCCATTTCTAGTCTGCCCAGTTGCATCTCTATCTGGAAGCCCCATGACCTAGCCACAGTGGATTACTTACAGAAAAACAAAACTAACACAAAACATGCATACCAAGGAGTTCTTTAAAGTCTAAGGAAGACTAGAGTGAAAATGATGTATCCACCATCCAATTAAAGCGAATCAAAGTTATAGATACCCTAGAAACAGCTTGTGTCCCCTCCTCACCCAAGGCAACGATTATCCTGACTTTTATGTTCTCTTTCCCTTTCTTTTTGTCATGATTTAACCAACCATGTTTGCATTATTTAAATATATGCTGTTTCATTTTTTAAAAACAGAAGCAAGCACAAACCTAGCAGATGTAAACTCTGGGTCACAGATTTGTTTTTTATCTCCCTGGGGATTACAGAAGGCTCCAGTGAGAAAGTAAGTAGGCAAGATTTCAGGCAAATCTGAGGAGACATAGGCTGTCTATAACTGGGTTATCCGAGGATTACAGTATGGACAGGCCAGGATATCCGACCGGAATGTGGTCAGAGAGTGGACTTCCCTATCTTTTCTGATTGCAGTCTCCTTCTGGCCCACCTCCAGTTCCTAGGAAATGGGTCAGAGCCAGACTGTTCTATAGGATGAAGTCAATGCCATCAGCTAACACCGAGGAGGAGGTGAGCAGCTCTTCCTTCAGCATGTGGTCAAGAGCAATCTGGACCAAATTTTCCCATGCATTTTTTGTTAGGTTGAAAAGAGTATGCATGAGCATCTAGGGTCTGTTCTGACATAACATTTGACCCCTAAATCAAATCCAGCACCTAGGGTTAACTTAGATTTACCGGAAGCATACAGGAAAGAGTGAGAGGTTATATGGCACTCTAAGGAAGTAAACGGATAAATTCAGAATATAGAACTTTCTGATGGACAACTGGCTTGGCTTCTGAAACAAGTTAATGACATGAAAAAAAATATAGTGACTTAAGACTTATAATCGGAACCAGACACAGTGCTCACCTGTAATTCCAGGTACTGAGGACTTATAAGGCAGGACAATTGCTTGAGGCCATGAATTCAAAGGTAAAATAGCAAGGCCCCACCTAAAAAATTATAACTAACAGTAATACATGAACCTTTGATTTGCATAGACTATTCTTAGTGTGCTGGAACTGCCATAACAGAATACCGCAGACTTGGGTGGCTTAAACACAAACTTTTCTCACAGTTACGGAAGTGGGAAGTTCAAGCTTAAGGTCCCAATGGGGTTGGTTTCCTCTGAAGTTCCTTTCTTTAAAAATTTTATGTAATTAATTCATTTTTATTTTATATATAGGAGTGATTTGCCTACATGAATGTTAAGTGCACAACATGGGTATAGTGTCCAGTGGGGGTCAGAAGAGGGCATCAGATCCCCTGGAACTGGAATTACAAATGATTATTAGCCACTGTGTGGGGTGCTCTGCAAGAGCAGCCAGTGCTCTTAACCACTGAGCTATCTGTCCAGTCCCCCAAAGCCTTCTCTTTGACTTGCAGGTTGGTTGCCCCTTCCACATGGCTGTCCTTCTGCATGTGTCCCTGGTTTCTGTATCATAGTTTCCTTTTCTTTTCTTTTCTTTTTTTTTTTTTTAAGCTTCCTCTTCTTTAAAGAGATACCAATCAGATTAGGGCCATCTTAATACAAAGCCAACTTTATTACCCCTTTAAAGGCCTTGTCTCCAGTTATAGTTACATTTTGATGTTGGGAGTTGGTTAGGGATTTAGTATGAATTGGGGGGAGGGGTGGAATGCTTTTTTTTAAGATCTTGGGAAATTGGATCAAGGATGAAGTGTTAGGTGATAAAAATAAATTATTAATATTTTTAGGTGTGATATTATAAAAGATAGGTGATATGGAACTGGATTTTGAGGTACATAGAGATGAAATGCTGTGATGTGGAACTGAAGAATACTTAACCAGAGGAAAAATTAGAAAAATGGAGATTAAGTCAATATGCCAGATTTCGGACAGTTGTTGAATCTGGGAAGTGGGTATAGGAGGGGGTCTGCTTTTCTGTGTTTGAAACTTATTAATCATACATTTAAATCAGAGCCATAACACAAAAAGGGCTTAGTGGCAGTGGGTGACTGGTAATGACTGTTGTCAGCATGTCTGTCCTATAAACCAATGCTTTTTCTAAGTCTGCTTAGTTTCTATGTGTGGTGATTGTGCTGGTCCCCTGCTTGTCTCTGCCCTAGAAACCTGTTTCTTTTTCTTTTCTTCCTTCTTTCCTTCCTTCCTTTGTTAAATTTTATTTTATTTTGTTTTAATTTATTTGAGATAGGTCTCCCTGTAGCCCTAGCTGACCTGGAATCACCACATAGACCAAGCTGGCCTCGATCTCTTGGAGATCCACCTACCTTTGCCTCTTGAGTGCTGGGATGAAAGGCGTGAGCCACCATGCCCTAGAAACCTGTTTCTTTTCTTTTTTAAAAACAATTTATTATTCTTACGTTTATGTGTGTGAGTGTATTGCCTGCATATTTGTAAGTGCACCTGTGTTGTGCAATGCCTGCAGAGGTTAGAAGAGGGTGTCAGATCCCCTGGAAGTGGATTTACAGATGGTTGTTAGTTGCCATGTGGGTGCTGGGAACCAAACCTGGGTCCTCTGCAAGAGCAGCCAGTGCTCTTAACTGCTGAGCACTCTCCAGCCCCTAGAAACCTGTTTCTTATAAACCACTTGATGAAAGACATCCTCCAGGAGCTTTTTTTTTTAAAAAGGGGATGGAATAAGAATTCCTACAATCCTGTGCACTTGGAAGTGCATTTGTTTTGTTCTCAAACTTGATCTATGATTCGACTAGTATATTAGTTACTAACTGATGCGATAAAGTTCCTGACAAAAGTAACAAGGTAAAAAGGATTTATTTTGGCTCATAGTTTGAGAGCACAGCCCCTCACTGTAGGGTAGTCCTGGCGGCAGGTACATGAAGCAGCCAGTCACACTGTACCTGCAGTCAGCACCTGCAGTCAGAAGCAGGGGACAAATGCTGGTGATTAGCGAGCTTTCTTTTTATTTGGTCTGGATTTGCAGCTCGTGGAATGGTTCTGCCCACATTCAGGTCTTCCCTTCTCAGTGAAACCTTTCTGGAAACACCCTTATAGACATCCCAGAGGTGTTGCCATGGTGATTCTAAATCCAGTCAAGTTGACAATCAGGATTAACCACCACACCTAGATATTGCAGCTTAAATTGGGAATAAATTTCCTTTGCCTTTTCAAGGTATTCTTCATCACCTTCTTCATGCTGTGGAGTCAGGGGTTCTGTTCTCATTCTTTGTGTATAGGCGTCTTTGCTTTTCTTCCTGTCTGACAACTTATGAAATCTTTTCTTTGTCTGCAGTTTCCTGAAATTTCATAAAATCTTGGTAAGCTGAGCCATTTCAACCTGGCAGCCTGAACCCTTTAGTTCTTCAACGGTTTATTGAATAACATTGTTACGATATTTTGTTGTGTTCTCTCTTTCTTGGGAATTTGTTTTATTCAAATATAGACCCATTATACTGGTTTACTAGAATGTTCTTAACTTCTCTATTCTGTCTTCTACATCTTTGTCTTTTGATTTTGCTTCATGAATATCCTCATTATTTATCTTTCTATACTTTTATTGAGTTTTAGAAGCATTTCTGCCATTATGGTGTCAATTCGTAAGAGCTCTTTTGGTTCTTGGGGCATTTCCTCTTATTCTGTTTTTGTTTCATGGATGCAGTTTTTTTTTTTTTTTTTTTTTTTTTTCCTTTTTGAGACAGAGTCTCCCTGTAGCACCAGATGGCCTGGAACTCACTATGTAGACCAGGCTGGCCTTGAACTCACAGAGATCCGACTGCCTCTGCCTCCCGAGTGCTGGGACTAAAGGTGTGTGCTACAACGCCCGGCCGCAGTTTTATTTTTTAATGGGAACATCAGTGGTATCCTTCCCTGCTCTCCACATAGTATCTACTTTTATTTGTGTTTGCTTTTTTGCATTTGCTGTGGCCTATCACTTCATTCTGGGCTTTCCCAAGATGTCAGTCTGCATGTGATCCTTGGCTCTGTTGGCTCTGGATTACGAGTGGGAGGAAAAAGTCTGT